CAGTATTACCCCAACCATTTATACCCAATTCTTAATTGTAACCTCAATTTAATCGATTTTGTCCACAAAACTCCTATTTTGACCACAAAAATCCAATTTTGACTCTTTTTTTCAAAAACTTATTTTTTCAAATTTTTTTGCCGCCGGATTCTGGCGTTGATTTTTTTTTTCAAATTTCGTCCGTCACCGCCGTTCGCCGGAATCTGGCGACGGAAAAGCAAGACAAAAAAAAAATTAAAATAAAATCGAAAAGTCAACGCTAGAAACCGGCAGCAAAAAAATAATTTTTGAAAAAAAAAGGTTTTGAAAAAAAAAGTCAAAATTGGATTTTTTTTCAAAATTGATTAAATTGGTGTTACAATTAAGAATTTGGTGTAAAGGGTTGGGGGTAATTTTGTCATATACGTGATTTATTTCCTTTATTTATAATAAATATTAAATGGATGGGTTTATAGGTGAAAGAAATATAGCCCATAAACCTATAATAATAAAGATGGTTGGTTAGGGACTTATGCACAAAAATCCCTTTATATATATTTAATATTACACACACACACACACGAACATATATATATATATATATATATATATATATATATATATATATATATATAAAATAAAATAAAACTAAATACCACACTGAATTAACAGTTCGGTAATCGGCATGTACGAATTTTCGTTCGATTCGATTTGATCAATTTACCGAGCGAATGAACACCCCTAGGTAAATTTCACATTGTAAGGGTGGACGTATAAGACAATACATAATTGAGGGGTGGTTGTAATTATGCAAACAAGAGGGGTCTTTTCGTAATTATACCTTATATCAGGGTGCCCGTAATTTGCCCAATTTTAATTATTCAAAAAGATTATTATGAACCCCTCGTGAATGGAAAAAACGTTACAATTACATATATGTAAAAATTATTTTTGTTTTAACTTTTACGTGACACATGTATAATAACTGGGGACGGCTAAAAGAAAACCATTTTTTTCTCACTTCAATACCACCAACATAAAAAATAGAAAATAAATAGGTAATGGCATTAATACCCTTAATAAAATCAATGCCACACAAATTTTGTGTGTGGTATTGATTTTCTTTAAGGGTAATAATGTCATTACCTATTTATTATTTATTTATTTTTAATTTTGTATATTAGTGGTATTGAAGTGAGAAAAAACAGTATTTGTTTTAGCTGCTCCCATAATAACTGCCGTTGAGTCAAGACTGAAGTCTGCCCCGAGTTGTTAGGAGTCGTAGTCAAAAGTCAAGTCTGCATCTTTAATGAATATCAATTGTATGACGACTGTTTCTTTCGTTTAAAACTCCTATGAAAAGCCCCACGCGGCCACACGTCTTTGAAACTCGATCGTTGACACAATCTTCGAGTTTTTATCAGGCTTACATTGAGCAATATATAATTTACATATTTTACAATTTTACAGTCCAACACGTAAAAAGAACAAGCATTGCAGCCCAAGAGCGGAATCCGAATAAAGTTGCAAAATAAAATAAAAGGAATCATAATAGTAACAAATGAAGTTTAATGTTGAAATAATTATTCCTTACTAATTTTATAATTTTATCATTCTATTATATTTCACTAATTTTCAGTTGGGCAATTGTAAATGAGCATCTCCAGAAAAGCTCAAACACGAGCTCAAACTCTAGTTATTTTTTTTAAGTTGTTTATGAGCTCAGTCACTTCTTTTTCTAATTTTAATTTATTGCTTATTTTATTTATCAATATGAAAAATATAAAATATAATAATAAACACATATAAATAATTAAAAGAATTACAATTTATTATTTATTTCCTAAACAAAATGAGTTGGGGCTCGAGCTCGTTAAACTAGCCAGGCTCAGCGGCCCCATTTACACCCCTATTTACAATTGACTTGTTATAAATTGGATGCCAGAGTGTTAATATCTTTTGCATATATACAACTACCACATTTTCTTTCCCTAATTTAGCACAGAGAAACAAAGGAAGAAAGATGGAGCACCTCTCTCATAGGTATATTTTCTTATTACATTTTTTTTCATATATAGTTACAATCTGTATCGTATTTCTTATCATTGTCTCCATTATTACGTGTTCTAAATTCTAATTCAACCTAAGAAGTTGTAAGAAAAATGCAGCGCCAATGATTTGGTTGCTCAAAGTTCCAGCTAAATCACAAGAAACTAAATAAATTACAGAAGAAAACAATATATATATACTCTTGAGGTATATTATTCTAGGGGTATTTGCACTCGGCTCCCCTGTGAAATGTCTAATTGGCAAAAAAACCCCTCGGATAAAAAAATTAGCAAATACCCCCCTATGAAAGGAAGTCAATGACAATAAGGACCCTACGAGCGAATCGTGGGATACACTCGCAGTTCATGCAGCTGGGCGTGCGTTTTAGGACATTTTAGGACAGGAAAAGACATAAAACCCCTTTGGTAGAGGAAAAAAACCCAGATTGATTCAATTATAAATAATCTAAAGTTATAGGACTAAATTGTAAATATCAAAATTGTGGGCTGAAATCACTATTTTGGAAAAAATATCGTCTTCCCCAAAATCCAAATTTCTTCTTCGCCATTGAAATCACCACCACCAAATTCCCACCACCACCACCACCACCACCGGCAATCACCTCGTTATGCCGCCGCCTCCAAAATGAGAGAAGAGCATGTCTTCCCCAAATTTCTTCTTATTCCACATTGAAATCGCCACCACCACCAAACCCCCATCACCACCTCCGGCCATCACCTCTTCCCGCCGGACCCACCCCTTTCCTTCTACAACATGTCTCCTCCGCTCTTCTCGCCCCAGACACCTGTCCACCGCCAACTTCACCTCGTTGCCGCCTCCTATTCCACCTCCCACTTTCACCAGAATTTCATTATCTCCGCGTCGCCTACGGCGGCGAGGAGTTGTAGTGCTATACTATTTCGTCGAACAATCGTGTGGCTGGGAAAATGCGGGTTAATCGACACGAGGTATCTTCCGGTGCTGCAGTAATTGAGCGTCGGGGTATGCATTTGTCGGAAGTGAGTTTGCAGGTGATGGAGTTGAGAAAAATTGACGAAGAGGAGAGGGGTAACCCGATTCTGCTATGGGGTGTATTTTGCAGGGAGTGGTGGTGGTTGGGTGTCCCCCGCTGTGGACGGTGGTTGAGAACGGGGATGGTAAAGTTTGAGAAAATATTCCGACGAGATCTAAGGGGGCGGGCTGGTCCAAGGTAAGTTCGACGGGGGGCAGGCTTTTTCGGCCAAATCTTCCGACGAATTCTAAAGGTGGGGGTTTCGTTCGAAGTAGATTCGAAAGGGGCAAGTGTTTTCCGGGCAAATTAAACGGAAAACCTGGCCCAGCAGAAAGTATCCAACGGCCACCACCATCATCAGCTGGAAAACACAATTAACGGCGGCGGCGGCGACGACGGCCGTCAGCACGTGGAGGAGGTGAAAGTTAACGGGGGCGGCGATGATGGAGGAGAGGGGTTCAAGAGGGAGATGAGGGATTTGGAGGAAATGCTCTCGAAATTGAACCCCATGGCGAAGGAATTCGTGCCGCCGTCCATGGCGACCGTGGTCTTCGGCGGTGGCCTCCACCATGGGCTGATGGTGGCGGCGCCGCCACCACAAGTGAAAGTGACCGGGGGAGAGGCTAGTGAAGAACGACTTCGTTTTGGTCCGATTGATGTTTATTTCCAACCAATCCGACCATGTGTTTAATGCCATTTCGTATAGACGAAGCTTCATTTGTACCCGTTTGAAGGTTGCATCGGAGCTCCCAAATGAACCCCATCTGATATATTTACCCAATCCGGTGATTTTTTTTAATTTTTTTTTTTAATTTAAAGAATCTTTTTTTCTTTATTTTTTATTAAGGGCAATTCTGTCATTTCACGTAAGTCAACGAGTCAGTGCACACAAAGGGGCGGTGGGCTGACTAAAACACAACATAGGGGGTCATATGCTAATTTTTTTTTCCGGGGGGGTTTTTTGCTTCCAAGAAATAACACAGGGGGGTCTATGCAATTAACTCTATTATTCTAGCCAGGGGTAAAATCGAAATATTTTTCTCGAATTCCACCAATTCCGATTATTTCCGACTTTTTCTTGTCTTTTGTCTTTTTTTATTATTTTATTTTTATAATAGGAATTGGAATACATACGAGATATCAATTTTTGACCATTTTTTAAATTTCTAATAATATATATTATGAAATTTCGTTTTTGAAAATTTCATTTGTAATATCAATATTAATATGTGTTTTATATTATAGGTGAATACGAAATTGAAATTTCTGAATTCCGCAGATTTCAATTAGATAATTTTCGGATTTGGAACAAGTATTTTTTCCAATTTCTAAATTCCCCATTTCCAACTTTTTTCTGATTTTTTTTTAAATGGAATTAGTTTTGTACTATCAATTTGTTTATAGAAAGTGTTAATTCCAATATGATCCGTCCAATTTCCACTTCTAATTTGATTTAATTGGTAAGATAAATTATGATTAATTTAGTAATTAGGTCTTATTTATTGTAGTTTTCTAACACTAGCTACTAGACTAAATAAATTAAAGATTAATTTAGTAATATGGTTTTGGATGAAATTGTATTTGTCCGTGTCTCTGTTTGCAGAATTGAAAAGAGCAGTCTCAAAGCAGGGGATCACATCTATTCATGGCGTGCTGCTTATAGTTATTCTCACCATGGTCAGTTTTTTTCGATATTCTCGTATTTTGGTACATAATGTTAGGCTTGTTTGAACGATATATTATATATATTGTGCATGATAATTGTACACATACAGATGTTATGTATACAATCTTTAGAGTACTGCGTGCGTAATTCCTCATGGTATTTGGAAGAAAACAAAACGTAATGTTGTTGTATTGACCGGTCAACACGATAATATCATTGTTTTGTGATAAAATAATTATTTGTACTTATATATTATGAGTACGTAAAATCATGACCTCATATAGGCATGTTTGTTGATGTGTTGTTTGGATGAGACTATGTATAGGCATCTTCATGGGCGGGGATAGAGTCGTACATTTCACAAGAGATGGTGTGCTCTCGTCAAGTTTGGAAGACTTTCTGGACGGCACCAAACTGCGTCTATACAGATACGACTCAAAACCCGAATCTGTAATCGTAAAACTAAGAGGCACTTGTACAACCGCCGTCTCCGATGATGAAGCTACCGTGATCTACAGAGCCAATTACCTCCTCGAAAACGGATTCGGGCGCTACAATTTGCTCAAGAAAAACTGCGAGAATTTTGCTACTTACTGCAAGACGGGGTTGCTTGTTGTGAAGGACGACGACGAGGAGGGTATGGCAGGGCTGAGTGCACAGGTGGCGTCCGTGAAGTGCAAGGCCGTTGTTATTACCGCATTTGCTGTGCCCGTTATTATTATGGGTGCCATTGAGGGGGCCAGCCCGGCAGCGGCCTTTTCCGCCTTTGCAGCCGCTCAATTAGCTGTACCGGCTACTTTTGCCATTGTGGCCGGTGGGGTTGTGTTTTACTGTGTTAGGCGGTGTCGTGCAGACATTGGCATGAGAAAGGATGTGAAGGAGGTTAGTGTGGAGGACCTTAATAAATATAAAGAGGAGGCTGCTATGGAAGTTGGTAACATTACTTCTTCAAGAGAACTAGATAATCGTAATTGGACGATGACGACGACCAAGCCTATGGAAATTTGTATACCTTCAACTTCTCTGCAACTTCTCACCCAGATCAGCCAGCACTGTGTTCCGGGAGGTTATTTCCCTTCCCGCTCTTCCTATTTCATAACATTGTGGGGTTTGTTATTTGTCAAATAGTTACTACTACTCTAGTCCTTTTTTTTTAATTGGGTTTGTTATTTTTCAAATAAGTTCTACTCTAGCTTGCTATTTAAGGTTTGCAATATTTGTGTGTTTTCTTCTCTACTCCTATATATACTGAAGTAATTTGTATTTGTTGAACATGTTGGTGTTCAACAATATTTGTGTGTTTGCAATATTTTATTTTATTTTTTAATTATGGAGCTTTTGGTTCGTGTGTTTCTTCTATACACGAAAAATCTCCGTTTGAAAACGTGTTGTGCGGATTCATTTCGATAACCTTTGAAAGCAGCGGCCTCTTCGGCGTCGGTGAGCAACCAGTCAAACACGGTGGAAATTGGCAACCTTTTACCCATGGCCGCATAACTAGTGGTGGATCCACTATGGTTCTAGGGTGTGCAACTGCACACCCTTGATTTCAAAAAAAATATTCCCGTATATTCATTGTGTTATATAGGCTTTGATGTGTGTCCTGGTTGTAATGTTCTGGCTTCAATGGTAGAGTATACAGACAAGTATCTCTTTGGAAGGTGCAGAGTTTGAAATAATATAAATAAAATAAAATAATCTATATAATATATGAATTGAAACCCTCGTAGCTTAAAAAACTGACATGTGGTATATCTATTAGACTTCCACCTCATATTCAATGTGGCATTTTTTGTTCCATTTTTTTCACGATATTAATAGACCCACATAAATTAATTATTGAATGCACTTACTCACAATAAGACACGTTAATTAACAACTTACTAACTTAGTATAAGATATTCATATTTTGTGTATTAATTTGATGGAGATCAATATCATATTATCTTACCAATTAATATAAATTACAATATATAAAAAAATATTAATTTGCTCCTAGATATCATGAACTATAACTATATATATTCCGGTTAATTTAAATCAATGATGTTATTTTGTGAAAATTTTGAAATTGTACTTCAATCAAGGATATTACATATATTCCTATGAATTTTGAATATATGAATTAGGTATACAAGTCCTATATATAAAAGCTTATAGGGTATATTGATTAAGATTTAGCAAGATTGACGGTAATATTACTGTCAAATATTAATTCTTTTGACTTTTTATTATGTTTACCTTTGTTGAGCGGTCAACATATTAATATTACTTTATTACACAATAATAATGACTCTTTTTTGTGTTAATATTATTGTGCTAGATATTAATATAGCAATATTACTGTATTACACTATAGTATAGTTAATATCATTATGTTTAACAGTAATATAGTAAATATTACTATCAACCACAGTAATATTTTTGTTTAAACGAGGGCAAAAAGATATTAAAGCAAAAAAAATATCGACAAAGTCAACGCCAGAGACTGGCAGAAAAACCAGGAAGAAAAAAAAGGAAAAAACAAAGTCAAGCCGAAGACCAGCGGTCAACGACGGTTGACCGTCGGTCAACGGCGGCGATGGACAAAATTGTGCTTTGAGTTAACATCGAATAATTTGTGAAATTTGGGATCAAATTGAGGTTAAATTAAATTAAAGGATGAAATTGGTGCATATTAAAATGTGAGGGGCTATTTTAGTGTTTTACAAAGCTCTAGACAATGTGTGGACTTTTTTGTAAAAAATTTTTTTGTCTGGACCCTTTAGCCATTGCTGAACTTATTTGGGGGCCCTAAGCGGAATTTAACATTATCGCTTTGGTTTTTTTTTTAAATAGTATCTAAAAGATATTGTTATTGGTACACATTTTTAACGAATATCTTATTTAATAAACAAAATTTTTATCTTATTTAATAGACAATGTCGATTTCGGCGGCATGAGAATCAGAGCCCATACGTGATGTTGAAGAAAAGGTTTGAAAAGGGACTGAATTGAAAATTTCGACAACAAAATTTTTGGGGTGCATCGATAATTTTCAAAGTTTCTGATTTAAAGGTTATTGATCCTGTAACAACAAATTCTTATCTGCGATTTAGACAAACAAGAAAAACTTGCACAAAAATAATTTATTGAATTAAAATAAAATACTGCGGGTTACAAACTCTAATTTAATCCTCTGATTCTTCTCTCAAGAACAATATGTGTTTGACTTTGAATTTCGGAGACGGGTCGTTGACTTGATCTTCTCCGGATTTGATTTGGATTTGAATAACGTCTTCCGAGGGTCATGCGACTTGAATCTCGGATCGAAACGCTGAACTTTGACGGGTTTTGACTTGAAGATCTTGAAGTTCTTGATGGATTTGACCCTTCAATCTTCCTTCGATCTTGATTTGTTGAAGAACGCCCTCGATTTGATGAAGAACTTGATGGATTTGGCCCTTCAATCTTCCTTCGATCTTGATTTGTTGAAGAACGTCCTCGATTTGATGAAGAACGCCTTGAATTTGATGAAGAACGACCTCGATTTGATGAAGAACGCCTTGAATTTGATGAAGAACTACTTGAATATTGTAGAGAGAATTTTCTCCTACGGTTTTTCTTCTTCTTGAGTTGTCTTCTGAATTGTGTAGAGAGGGTCCCTATTTATAGTGGTAGAATAAGAGTCCTACTTAAAGTCTACTTGATGATGTGGCGCGATTTGATTGGCTCTCTTTAAATTGATATTTATCTCTTATAACTTGGAAGAGAAGAAATAATCCTATTGGCCAATAATTAATTGATAATTATCTCCATAACTTATTTTGTAAGATAAATTATAATTTAATTTAGACACAATTTAATTGGCTTATTTAATTAATCAATTAATTAATTTTATGCGTCTACAAATGCCCCCTCGAGACTTGTTCACGGACAATGCATCTTGGAGTGGATGAGTCTCGATAATTGCTCAACTTTGATTGCAGCTTGATCTAGCAAAGAACATATATCTTTTGAAATCATGACTGAACTTAGAGAGATTCTAAGTTGCCTACGTACCCTATAAAGGGATCAAGTCATAACGTAGTTCAAAATATATCCTTTTGAGGGATGTCGTGCACAGTTTATACTCATGTGGACAAGGAGAAACATTTGCAGTTTAAGCTCGTACTGAAGGAGCATTTGACTTGAATTTGTAGATAGTTTATGCTCGTATCAAGGAGGCTTGACTTGATTTGGACATATAGATAGTTTATGCTCGTATCGAGGAGCCTTGACTTGATTTGGATATGTAGATAGTTTATGCTCGTATCAAGGAGCCTTGACTTGATTTGGATATGTAGATAATTTATGCTCGTATCAAGGAGCCTTGATTTGACTTGGATATGTAGATAGTTTATGCTCGTATCAAGGAGCCTTGACTTGACTTGGATATATAGATAGTCTATGCTCGTATCAAGGAGCCTTGACTTGATTTGGATATATAGATAGTTTATGCTCGTATCGAGGAGCCTTGACTTGATTTGGATATGTAGATAGTTTATGCTCGTATCAAGGAGCCTTGACTTGATTTGGATATGTAGATAGTTTATGCTCGTATCAAGGAGCCTTGATTTGACTTGGATATGTAGATAGTTTATGCTCGTATCAGGGAGTACTTCAGTTGATTTGGACTTGTAGACCTTTTAAACTCGTGTCAAGGAGTATTTCACTTGATTTGGACTTGTAGACCTTTTAAACTCGTGTCAAGGAGTACTTGATTTGATTTGGACATGTAGACCTTTTAAACTCGTGTCAATGAGTGCTTCATTTGATTTGAACATGTAGACCTTTTAAACTCGTGCCATGGAGTGTCTGATTTGGACATGTAGACCTTTTAAACTCGTGTCAAGAAGTGCTTGATTTGGACATGTAGACCTTTTAAACTCGTGTCAAGGAGTGCTTCACTTGATTTGAACTTGTAGACCTTTTAAACTCGTGTCAAGGAGTGTTTCATTTGATTTGGACTTGTAGACCTTTTAAACTCGTGTCAAGGAGTGCTTCATTTGATTTGACTTGTCACATTGCATAGGATGTTGTTTCTTCAAAAGACTTCCCCCATCCTTTTGATCTTCTTGTTCTTCTTCAACATGTTCTTCTTTGAGCTGATACGACTTTTGGAATGAAGGTTCTTCGACTTCATTTGCAGTTATGCTCAATTCCATATCATGTGCTCGAGTGGCCAACTCTTCAAAACATTTAGGTTGAATTACTTGAAGGATATATCGGAGTCCCCATTGCATTCCTTGGATGCACAGTTCAATAGCTGATGTCTCAGACAGTCGATCCTTGCAATTAAGACTCAAATTTCTCCAATGTTTGATGTAGTCGATGACAGGTTCCTTCTTCCATTGGCGGGAATTGGTGAGCTCAATCATGCAGACTGTTTTTCGAGTTCTGTAAAAGCGGTTGAGAAATTCTTCCTCTAAGTGCTTCCAACTATCGATGGAGTTTGCCCCCAAATCAATGTACCAATCAAACGCGTTGTCTTTGAGCGATCGGACGAATTGCTTGACGAGGTGATCTCCGTACGTCCCGGCATCATTGCAAGTCTCGACGAAGTGTGCCACATGTTGCTTGGGGTTGCCTTTGCCGTCAAATTGTTGAAACTTTGGAGGTATATAGCCCATTGGCATCCTTAGATCATCAATCCTTTGCGTGTATGGCTTGACATAGGTTGATGGAGACTTCGAGCTTCCTTCCAACTTGTCTTTGATGGTTCCACTGATCAGCGTCATCACTTGATCTACATGAATCATCCCTTCTGGAGAAACTTGAAGTTCTTGAGCTGGAGCCTTCTCGTTTTCAACTGGTTGTTGCTTTGTGGATGTCTCGACTTCGTCTTGAACTTCTATCTGATTCTCCACAGCTTGACTAGCATTGGCTTTGTCCATCTTGTTGATCAACTCGGCAATTTGAGAATCTCGTTGTTGAACATGCTTTGCGAGTCCCTCAATGGCATTTGTCAAACTTGCAATTCGCTCCTCCATTGATATGAACTACGTCAACATGTGACGAAACCCAATAACAATATATGGTTTTGGAACCCCAAGACCCCCCAAAGAAACAAGTTTGTCGAACCTTGACCCAATGATTAGTAAATCACGAACCAAGATTACAATAGAAACGAAGACGCCACACCAAGAGTTCAAGATGGATTCAAGAATCTTGATGATAAGTCTGATTGTTTGAACGCCACAAGATAACTTGATAAGTTCAAAAGCTCTTTCAAGATAGAAAGAAGAATACTATTGCCTCACAAAATGATTTCTGAATTGATTGCTGAAACATACAACTTAGCCCCTTTATATAGGGTTCAATATTCTCTAATCTATGGAAATAAACTAAGAACAAGGAATTATTAACTATCCAATCAAATTAGCCACAAATCAGCCAATCTAATTGACAATTATTGATTCTAAATTAAGGAAACATCTAAATCAGAATATTGATATTCTAAGGCTGAAATTGCACAAGTGAAAGACTCTCCAAAGCCTTGAGAACGTGATTACTTCAATTAGACCCTTCCACAACTGATATCTTTGTGATTGACTTCCCTTCAATCTGATTTGGGTCCATTTGAATTGTGAATGGGCTTGTACATGGATTTGAACTCATGTTGGGCCTCCAATTATTTGCCATCTCAACTTCTTCTTGAATCAGCCCATATAATGCTTCCTTGAAACGCTTGGCTCTAAGCCTTGTGATTGGTCCGCTTGGCAAGCTTAGTGGCTCTTGGTGGACTTCGTCTCTTATGGTTCCATTTGCATCATTCTCCCCTTCTTGAGAAAGATTTGTCCTCAAATCTGCATCACCTACATCAAATGGAGATAAGTCAGAAACATTAAAGCTATTACTAACACCATACTCACCAGGTAGTTCAAGTTTGTTGGCATTGTCATTGATACGTTCCACCACTTGAAATGGTCCATCACCCCTTGGAAGAAGTTTAGATCTTCTTTGTTGAGGAAACCGATCCTTTCTCATATGTAGCCATACCCAATCTCCTGGTTCGAAGACAACTTTCTTGCGTCCCTTATTAGCTTGCTTGACATATTGCTCAGTCCGACGCTCTATATGTTGCCTTGCCTTCTCATGAAGTTGTTTTACGAAATCTGCTTTTTTTTCGCCATCTAAGTTAACACGCTCATCCAAAGGTAAAGGGGTTAAATCCAAAGGAGTCAAAGGATTAAAACCATAAACAATCTCAAATGGTGAAAACTTAGTTGCAGAATGAACACAGCGATTATAAGCAAATTCAACATGCGGTAAACAATCTTCCCAAGTTTTCAAGTTTTTTTGTATAATTGCACGCAATAAAGTAGACAAAGTCCTATTCACTACTTCCGTTTGACCATCAGTTTGTGGGTGACATGTAGTAGAGAACAACAATTTAGTTCCTAACTTACCCCACAAAGTCTCCAAAAGTAACTTAAAAACCTTGCATCTCTATCAGAAACAATAGTCCTTGGCATGCCATGCAACCTAACAATCTCACAAAAAAATAAATTCGCTACATGTGATGCATCATCAGTTTTATGGCATGCAATAAAGTGAGCCATTTTAGAAAACCTGTCAACAACCACAAAAACTGAATCTCTCCCCCTCTTTGTCCTAGGTAAACCCAAAACAAAATCCATAGAGATATCAACCCAAGGTGCATTTGGAATAGGCAGGGGAGTGTACAAACCATGTGGTTGAAGCCTAGATTTGGCTTGCTTGCAACTAATGCATCTTGCACAAATTTTCTCTACATCATGTTTCATGCGTGGCCAAAAGAAATGCTCATGCAACACACCTAAAGTCTTAGCCACCCCAAAGTGCCCCATCAAACCACCACTATGCGATTCCCGAACAAGTAATTCACGCAAAGATGAATGTGGCACACATAACTTGTTCTCCCGAAATAAAAAACCATCATGCAAATAGAACTTCCCGTATGCCCCATTAGTGCAATTTTTAAAATAATCACCAAAATCAGAATCAGTTGCATACAAGTCCTTAATATACTCAAATCCAAGCAACTTAGTACTAAGTGTTGAAAGCAAAACATACCTTCGTGACAATGCATCAGCAACTATGTTCTCCTTACCTTGCTTGTATTTGATAACATAAGGAAAAGTTTCGATGAATTCCACCCACTTGGCATGACGCTTGCTCAATTTATATTGTCCCTTTAGATGCTTCAAGGATTCATGATCGCTATGAATCACAAACTCTTTTGCCCACAGGTAGTGCTGCCACGTCTCTAGAGTTCGAACCAATGCATACAATTCCTTGTCATATGTAGGATAGTTTAAAGCTGCCCCACTTAATTTTTCACTAAAGTATGCAATTGGTCTTCCTTCTTGCATTAGTACACCGCCAATACCTATACCTGATGCATCACACTCAATTTCAAACATTTTAGTGAAGTTAGGCAAAACAAGTAATGGTGCATTCGTCAATTTATCCTTGATGAGTTGAAATGCCCTTTCTTGCTCCTCTCCCCACTTGAATGGAACGTTCTTTTTGATAACTGCTGTAAGAGGTGCTGCTATGCTGCTGAAATCTCGAACAAAGCGCCTATAAAATCCAGCTAGGCCATGAAAGCTCCTTACTTGAGTTACCGATGTAGGCGTTGGCCAATCTCGAATCGCCATCACCTTTTCCTCATCAACCTCTATACCTTTAGCACTAACAACATAACCAAGAAACACAAGTTTGTCCGTACAGAAAGTACATTTCTTAAGATTAGCAAACAACCTTTCTTTCCTTAAAACCTTTAAAACAAGTGCTAGGTGTTCAACGTGATCATCAAGGTTTTTGCTGTAAATTAGAATATCATCAAAATACACAACTACAAATTTACCAAGGAATGCACGTAAAACATGGTTCATGAGCCTCATAAAAGTACTAGGTGCATTAGTAAGCCCAAAAGGCATAACCAACCATTCGTACAAGCCATATTTTGTTTTAAATGCAGTTTTCCACTCATCACCTTCTTTCATTCTAATTTGATGATAGCCACTCTTAAGATCAATTTTAGAGAACACGCAAGACCCATGCAATTCATCTAACATATCATCTAGTCTAGGAATAGGATGACGATACTTTACCGTGATATTGTTGATGGCTCGACAATCAACACACATCCTCCATGTCCCATCCTTCTTAGGTACTAGCAACACCGGAACTGCACAAGGGCTCATACTCTCCCTAACATGTCCTTTCTCGAGTAGCTCATCAACCTGCCGTTGAAGTTCCTTTGTCTCCTCGGGACTACTTCGATAGGCTGGTCGGTTTGGAATTGTTGCACCTGGTACGAAGTCAATTTGGTGCTCAATTCCTCGAATTGGTGGTAAGCCTGGTGGTACCTCCTCGGGAAAGACATCTTCAAATTCCTGCAAAAGTGAAACAACATTGCTCGGCAATGATCCGACAAGTTCGTTAGTACTCAAAAGGGCCTCCTTGTACATAAGTACTATAAGGGGCTGTTGTGATAATAAAGCTCTCTTGATCTCACTTTTTTTTGCAATGAAGTTGTATTTTTCCCCTCGCTCGCTCTCATTTTTTTTATCACTCTCTTTTGTTTTTACACTTCTCTCCTCTCTTCTCTCCTTTTCTTTTCTCTCAATCTCACCATCTCTCTGTTTTTCTTTACACTTCTCACTCTTTTTTTGTATCTTGAGTTGATCTTCAAGAACTTGCTTGGGACTTAACGGTACAAGTGTCATGGGTTGCTTTTTAATGATGAAAGAGTACCTATTGGTGTACCCGTCATGTGTTGCTCGACGGTCGTACTGCCATGGTCTCCCCAATAGGACATGGCATGCTTGCATAGGCACCACATCGCACAACACTTCATCCTCATACTTGCCAATGGAGAATGCCACTAACACTTGCTTTGTCACCTTGATTTCTCCACTATTGTTTAGCCACTGAAGTCGGTATGGTCGAGCATGCCTCAAGGTAGGCAAACCCAATTTCTCAACTAATTCAGTACTTGCAACATTAGTGCAGCTCCCACCATCAATAATAACGCTGCAAACCTTACCATTTACAAAACAACGAGTATGAAATAAGTTTTCTCGTTGATTGTTCTCTTCTTCTTTACCTTGTGCACTAAGAGCTCGCCTTGCCACTAATAACTCACCCTCTGCAGCATATTGCCCTTCGTATGTATCTCCAAAAGATGGCAGCTCATCTACCTCGTCTTCCTTTTCATCCTCCGATTCGATCTCCCCTTGGGCATTTAGCACCATAACCTTTTTGTTAGGACACTCACTAGCTATGTGTCCCCTGCCATGGCACTTGAAACATTTCATATCTCGATTCTTAGAAGTGGAGGGTTCGGTGTTACCTTGTTTGAATGTTGTCGCTGGTTTGGCATCCTTAGAAGGTTCGAATTTAGGTTTGGTTGATGGCCATTCATCCCGTTTAGGTGCTGCCTTCCACGAATTTGAAGTGATTGCACCCGTTCCCTTCCTAGCCAAATTCCTCCGCTTCAGTTGTTGTTCGACTTTGATAGCTTGGTGCACCATATCCGTCAATTCCACATAGTGTTGCATCTCCACAACATCTGCTATTTCACGATTTAAGCCATGTAAGAATCTAGCCATGGTAGCTTCCCTATCTTCTTGTACACTTGCTCGGATCATAGCAACTTCCATCTCTTTGTGGTACTCATCGACGCTCCTCGATCCTTGAGTTAGGCGTTGTAACTTGTTGAACAACTCTCTATGGTAGTAGTTTGGAATGAAACGTTTCCTCATGATGGCCTTCATCTCATCCCATGTTTCAACAGGTTGCTCGTAATTTCTCCTCCTTTCCTTCAACAATTGATCCCACCAAATAATAGCATAATCAGTGAATTCAATTGCAGCAAGCTTTACCTTTTTGTTTTCGGAGTAGTTATGACATTCGAAGACCATTTCTATCTTCTTCTCCCATTCTAGATAAGCCTCCGGGTCGTTTCGGCCTTGAAATGGCGGAATCGTCACCTTGATGCTTCCCAAATCGTCATCTTGCCTAGGCCTTCTTCCATTGTTCGCACCTCTATACCCACGTTCAAACCTTCCTCCGTTCATTGGACGTTCATCGAGTTCCTCTAATTCTTCTTCATCTACAGCATCACCGCATTGTGCCCTTGGTTGCACTCGCCTAGGCGGGGGCTGCCTCTTTGTTGTCTCCTCTTCCAATTTGTCTATCCTTTCATGAATTTGCTCCATCTCCATTCTCATCACCCGCCTCATCTCGCTCACCAATGCTTGCATTTGGAACTTTGAAATGCCTGGTTGTTGCCCCTCTTCAGTTGAATTATCTCCTCCGTTTTGTGACATGTTACGAGATCTGCAAGATATTATTAAAAACCTCACAAACACTCCCTCACGTGTTTCCCTCAATATGATGTCACTCACACTCGTGTTTAACACTCAATCGGCTTTTACCCTCTTATATTCTCACCACTCTGCCTTTTTCCGCTCGTTGTATCTTCTTTTCACTCTTAATTGAACTCAAGAACAATCGAGAATCAAATAGCAATTCAAAGTGAGAATCAATCAAACAAATCACAAGAATCAAGAATTAAAGTCCTAAGAGATGCAAGTAATCTCTATAGAGATAAATGCTAAAGAATATGGAAATCTAGGAGCACAAGAATAAAGATACCATATTGAAGATTACGCAGATATTTTCTTTCCTTTCTTTTTCTTTTTTTTTTGTTTTGTTTTTTTTTTTTTTTTGTTTTTTTTTTTTTTTTTTTCTTTTTTTTTTTTTTTTTTTTTGTTTTTTTTTTTTTTTTTTTTCTTCTTTTTTTTTTTTTTTTTTTTTTTTTTTTTTTTTTTTTTTTTGCTTTCTTTGAGCACAAAAAATACGAAATTACAAGATAAATTGAAACTTGCCTTTGAAACCAAGGCTCTGAATACCAACTGATATGAACTACGTCAACATGTGACGAAACCCAATAACAATATATGGTTTTGGAACCCCAAGACCCCCCAAAGAAACAAGTTTGTCGAACCTTGACCCAATGATTAGTAAATCACGAACCAAGATTACAATAGAAACGAAGACGCCACACCAAGAGTTCAAGATGGATTCAAGAATCTTGATGATAAGTCTGATTGTTTGAACGCCACAAGATAACTTGATAAGTTCAAAAGCTCTTTCAAGATAGAAAGAAGAATACTATTGCCTCACAAAATGATTTCTGAATTGATTGCTGAAACATACAACTTAGCCCCTTTATATAGGGTTCAATATTCTCTAATCTATGGAAATAAACTAAGAACAAGGAATTATTAACTATCCAATCAAATTAGCCACAAATCAGCCAATCTAATTGACAATTATTGATTCTAAATTAAGGAAACATCTAAATCAGAATATTGATATTCTAAGGCTGAAATTGCACAAGTGAAAGACTCTCCAAAGCCTTGAGAACGTGATTACTTCAATTAGACCCTTCCACAACTGATATCTTTGTGATTGACTTCCCTTCAATCTGATTTGGGTCCATTTGAATTGTGAATGGGCTTGTACATGGATTTGAACTCATGTTGGGCCTCCAATTATTTGCCATCTCAACTTCTTCTTGAATCAGCCCATATAATGCTTCCTTGAAACGCTTGGCTCTAAGCCTTGTGATTGGTCCGCTTGGCAAGCTTAGTGGCTCTTGGTGGACTTCGTCTCTTATGGTTCCATTTGCATCATCCATGGTTGTAGCGTTTTTCATGACGGATGCCACCTCTGAGTAGCTTGATGTTGAACGAGGCGTGGGATGTGAAATCTCTCGTTTTGAACCTTCCACGTCTGCGCTTGTGTTGACAAGAGGTGGTAAGCCTTTCTGAATGGTTTGAGGCGTCGAGTTAGTCTCGGAGGATGCTTGCAGCTTCTTAGCCATACTCCTTGTACCTAAGCCCACACTTGATGCATCCGAAGAAGCAATCTTCATTTTGAACGTAGAGCAGTCACTGCAACACTTCGAGGATCTTCAAGAGAGAGAAGAGATGAGAGGTAGAGATGTCCCACTGGGCGTGCCAAAATTTGTAACAACAAATTCTTATCTGCGGTTTAGACAAACAAGAAAAACTTGCACAAAAATAATTTATTGAATTAAAATAAAATACTGCGGGTTACAAACTCTAATTTAATCCTCTGATTCTTCTCTCAAGAACAATATGTGTTTGACTTTGAATTTCGGAGACGGGTCGTTGACTTGATCTTCTCCGGATTTGATTTGGATTTGAATAACGTCTTCCGAGGGTCATGCGACTTGAATCTCGGATCGAAACGCTGAACTTTGACGGGTTTTGACTTGAAGATCTTGAAGTTCTTGATGGATTTGACCCTTCAATCTTCCTTCGATCTTGATTTGTTGAAGAACGCCCTCGATTTGATGAAGAACTTGATGGATTTGGCCCTTCAATCTTCCTTCGATCTTGATTTGTTGAAGAACGTCCTCGATTTGATGAAGAACGCCTTGAATTTGATGAAGAACGACCTCGATTTGATGAAGAACGCCTTGAATTTGATGAAGAACTACTTGAATATTGTAGAGAGAATTTTCTCCTACGGTTTTTCTTCTTCTTGAGTTGTCTTCTGAATTGTGTAGAGAGGGTCCCTATTTATAGTGGTAGAATAAGAGTCCTACTTAAAGTCTACTTGATGATGTGGCGCGATTTGATTGGCTCTCTTTAAATTGATATTTATCTCTTATAACTTGGAAGAGAAGAAATAATCCTATTGGCCGATAATTAATTGATAATTATCTCCATAACTTATTTTGTAAGATAAATTATAATTTAATTTAGACACAATTTAATTGGCTTATTTAATTAATCAATTAATTAATTTTATGCGTCTACAGATCCATTGGGTATCCGATTGGGATTCTATTTTCCTAGAGAGTTTTTTTTGTCTTTTCGCAAACGGTCAACCGATGAAAATAAAACGGTTCGAATTTGCTTGCTTGAACATATTACATGAGGGTTTTTGGACACTTCATTTTTCCCAGGATTTTTTTGGTCTTTCGACATAACACAGGGGTGTAGTTGCATAATTTTACTCGCACATAAAACCTGCACCTTTTTTCATCTTTAATACTCATATATATATATATATATATATATATATATATATATATATATATATATATATATATATATATATATATATATATATATATTCCATTCCGATGCAAATAATTTCGGGAAAATCGGAGGTCGAAATTTCGGAATTCGGATTGAAAAATGTTGTTCGAAAATTGAAAAAATGCGGATCGGAATCGGATCCGTTCCAATTTCCACCCCTTCTTCCCCGATTCAAGATATAATTTCCGTTTGCAATTTGGCGAAATCTAGGGTTTGTGGCCATTGTTGAGACGAGGGATTTCGAAAAAGAATTTAACATGGTTTGAGGTTTGGGGCAGCGCGGCCATAGGTGATGGAAGCCACGGCGGCAACAGAGAAGATGCAGTATTGACTATTGAGAATTCCCATGAGGCGCCGCAATCTCAGGGGCTGATTTAAGAATCTTCTCCGGAATATGCAGCGCCGGCCGGAGAGGAGGTGGACGGCGGCGGTTATTTAGACAACATCTCGGAGATAAGTTGCTGGATAAACTAGATACAGAGCATATTTCTGAAAATTGCAATTTAGTCCTAAACCTTTTGAATAAGTCACTAAGTCAATTAAAAGTAGGGGCAATTTGCTATAGGTCCTCCTATAAGAGATTATATGTGTTAAAATCCATCTAATAAACTCTAATTTCCAGCAAATTTTTGTATTTATAATTTGTCAAAAGTACCCCTATCAATATCCCTATTAATATACGGTAAAATATATCTTCAAAATCAAATCCCCTATTCTGGTGTTTAGGGTTTGTTGTTCCGAAAATTATAATTGCAAAAATCTGGAAATCGATTTCTTCCCTGTTTCTTCAAAGCGAAAATCTCACCACGAATTTTGAATCCTTCCATAGGTTTGGGTGTTTGATCGTTTGCAGTTTTACCAGGTCGTTTGCATTTTGTCTTTGTTCGATTTGCTGTTCACTATTTGCATTTGTTTCGTTTGCTGTTTACAAATTACCAGGTCTGAGCATTTTGCCTTTATTCCGTTTGCCTTCGTTCGATTTGTTGTTGCCCATTTTGACTTCGTTCTGTTTGCTGTTTACAAATTGTTTGTTGTTCGGAATCAACGGCTGGTGTTTAGGGTTTGTTGTTTGGAGTTCATACGATGGCCAAAAAACGATTAAGTCTTGGTAATCAATGATCCTTTGTGTAAAATTTTATTTGCATGTTGGGTTTTCGATATTGATTTTTTTTCTTTCATTACTAATTTTGTATTTTGTTCCTTTTTTTGCTTTTGTATTTTGTTTGTTTGCTATTTATTTCAAATATTTCAATAATAATTTGAAAACCCGTTTTTTTCCCCTTAACAACAAAGGAGGATGATGATTTCCAATCCCCGAAATCAGGTAAATTGAGGGGTTTGTTTATGTTACGACTTTGGTTATGTTTATTCTAAAACAATACATTTGAAGAACCTAATTATGTGTTCTGACATTGCTATTTGCATTTCTCCGTTATGAGTTTGCAAATTGAATTTCAATATGTTCGTTATGGATTTCTACATTTTACCGTTTATACTTCATTGTTTACAGTTTATACTTCTCTCTTTATCATTTTTCGTTTACAGTTTGCCTTTACCGTTTGTATTTGCAATTTGCAATTAGTGGTTGTTAATATTTGCAATTATTACATTTGTTGTTTTGTAACGTTCAATCACTTTCTCTTTTTATTTTATGTTCAACAGCCACTGCAAAAAAAAAAAAAAGGGACCAAGCCATTGTTCAACAACATCGAAGAGAGGAAAAGGAATATTAAATGCATACGGACGCCCACGAAATCAATGTCACTGGTGAAAAAGTTCATGGTGTGAAAGAATATGAGCGATTTTCGTTACATTTTTTTCCCGCTGCATTAGGTGAATGTCCCATTGTCGAACTTCGGCACTGGACACTCTTTGTGTGTGACAAATATTTATGCTCGCGAGAACGTTTCAACTTGTATTCGTCCAAAAAAGATAAAAGATGATCCATTTTTTGTTCATGTTGCTAACATGTAAAAGGTCCTCTAGAGCGCAAAAAAAAAAAAAATTATTGTTTAATGATTCACATTCATTTGTTGTTTCAAATTATTTTTGGTGTTTGATAATACAATTTTCAGTTATAAGTTGCAGTTTGCAGTTTTCTATTTTATGTTGCAATTTATTTTGTTGTCCGATTCTTTATTATGTTGTTTGCTGAAATAAAACTAATTAGAAAATGCAAACAAAAAAATGCAATACTATCGAGAACATACGAAGTAACAATTAAAATCCAACACATATGGTCTCAAGAAAATTAATAATTAAGATTGCTATAAAATAATTATGAAAATAAAATTAAAGCTTTTTTAAAGAAATGAAGAATTAATTCAAATTAGTTAGAGGCTTGAGAGAGAGAAATAATATAATGGTGCGAGAGAGAAAAATGGGGATGAGAGAGAGAGAGAGAGAGAGAGAGAGAGAGAGAGAGAGAGAGAGAGAGAGAGAGAGAGAGAGAGAGAGAGAGAGAGAGGCGTGTGGGTGAGGGGAGAGAGTTGTAACCGTGTGGTGTGGAGAGGAGAGAGAGTGAGAGATTTGTGGGATTTGTTTTCTTAATTTTTAAAATTGACCAATTACATAAAAATATTAATTGGGGGTATCTATGTCTATACATAAATAATTTAATTAATTTTAATTGATGAAGGACCTACACCTATATCCATCTAATAGAATGGATCTCCACCTATATAAGTCTAGAATAAGGGGTGTCTAGCCAATTTCCCCTTAAAAGTATTAGATCTGGGAGATTGGTGGCTGGATAATCTAGATACAGCCTGATTTCTTAAAATTGCAATTTGGTCCTAAACCTTTTGAATTATGTATAAGTCAAATTGTATTACATTGAGGGCCAATCCCGACTCTTAACAATCAAATATTTCATCATCACTTGCACGAACCGCGAGTGCCAACACGAACTCGAGTTAGGTGGGAAAGTGAGTTTCCATTAACGCAACGATTATTTTCATAATTGAAGGAATGACTGGAAAACAAATTAAAACATCAAGAACAAAATTGAGTAATAACACGTCAAAAATTACCAAGTGTCATAGATTTATATCATTAAGTAAAAAGAAAACAATTCATATATTTAGATTTGGTGCATAAAATTCTTCAACATTTGGGGTTGGACCCAAACGGCTTTTGACCACACTGCAACACCACCAAGTATCGGCATCGAAGTTTTGCTCCTATCTTCCAAATCAAAAACATTGTAATTCCGGTCTCTAATATTTGTATAATAAATGGAGTTAGGTTTAATTCCTATAGGAGTAGGGCAACAATATCCACCATCATCGAGAGTCACAAAAATTGACCGATTGCCTATATTTTCTACCTCCATGCACGTCATTGCATTCGTATCTACACTAAAAACCCTAAACTCCGAACTGTCTTTGACAGTTAGGCACGGGTATGTTTTCAGAACAAGCAAGAGCTCATCAGTACTGCATGATTTGATCAACCATATGCTATTAATTCGCCCTCTAAAAGCACGAGGAATAAACCAAGGCTGAGTGCCGTCTTCATTCATCAAAGTCACCGGCCTTTCATACTCGAGACTTTTGTCCACAAAATTAATCGTGACGAATTTGTCAGGTTCTATAAAGCCGTAAATCTTACCTCGGAAACATACAATCGCCATTAAATAACCCATGAAGCCATCTTCTTCATCGAAACCAATTTCATGTTCCTCTACTCAGTGGCGGATTTACTAAGGGGCAGGGGGGGGCAGCCGCCCCCCCAGAAAAAAATATTCCAACTTTTTTTTATTGCTTTTTGGCATATTATTATACAAATATGTGTTTTTGCCCCCCCTATTTTTATTTTCTTCTCTATTCTTTTATGTAATTTTATATATTCTTTCTCTATTTGTTATTACAATATAAAATACAACTACTAAAATATATATTTTTACTTCAAAATTATAAATATATACTTATTTTAGCAATATTTTGTGAATAACCCGAAAAAAAATTCCGGGGCGCTGCCCCTGAAATCTCCAAAATTATAACCTCCCGTTGGATATATTTTTTCCTAAAAAAATCGCCCCCCCTTAAAATGTTGTCTAGATCCGCCACTGCCTCTACTGTCACATATTCTTCATCTCCAATCCGACAGAAAGACAGTCCATCGCGCTCGCTGCTGAAGATGATGTAACAATCAGGTTCAGTGGGAGGCTTGGTCATGATTAATTTGTTGTAAAAGTACCCGTTGTCTAGTTTCTTCGGGAGGTCGATTTTATCCTTGGATACTGGATTGAAAAGACAACAGTCGCAATCATGACCGAGCGGTTGCACTAAACCCAACCATCCATAACTGGAACTGGAACCTAGTACCTTCTTGTCGCTCAATATTTTCCTCGTTGTCATAGTACTTAAGTTGCGAAATTCACTATGCAATAAACTGTAGATTATATGTTTCTGAAACTTATCACCCTGAGATATCAAAAGCAACGGAGCTTCACCCTTGTTGTTTCCCTGCTTAGTTTCCATATAGTAATGAATTTTCTGCATCAACAAGACAATTGCACAAGATCCATGAGTTTTTTAATGAAAAGAGTATAAGAAACAAAAAGCAGAAAGAAAGAAAAAAAAAAAAAAAAAAAAAAGGCTCCTTACATACTACGTTGTTCACCAATTCCTATTGCAATGCAGAGTGTATGATACTCGTATGTCTCTCTCTCTCTCTCTCTCTCTCTCTCTCTCTCTCTATATATATATATATATATATATATATATATAATATGGCGGCGGTTATATGCAAGCTCATTTTTTTATTAGTTCTAGACCTTCAACATAAAAATACTAATTTATCCTTAATGAAATTTAAAATCAAATAAAAAACACAAAGGCGGCGGTTATATGCAAGCCCATTTTTTTATTAGTTCAAGACCTCCAACATAAAAATACTAATTTACCCTTAATGAAATTTAAAATCAAATAAAAAACACAAAACATTAAAAAAAAATCATTTCCTTTGTGCAAGACCAAATAAAATACATAAATCCAGAAACCCCTCTTCCTTATTTCACGACTTAAAAATCTCCTCCTCCTTCTTCTCCCTCTTCTTCACAAACCCACCAAGAAATCCTACACACCAAAATTATCAAATACATACCAAACATTCACGATGGAACCAGAAACAATGATATGGTAGTTTACGAGGGTGGAGAACACAATGAAGTATGTTTGAACCGTTTATTTTTGCTTTTGGGTCGTTTTTTTTTTTGTTGGGAAAAAAATTCGACGATACCAAAAATCGGTCTGCAAATACCGATTTTTGTTACTAAAGTCGGTAACCACATTCCGATTATTTTAATAAAAATCGGTACTTAAAAACCGATTTTTGTAGTAAAAATCGGCATGACAACACCGATTTATGTTTGTATTATCGGTATTGTCATGCCGACTTGTACTACAAAAATCGGTTTTTAAGTACCGATTTTATTATTTGTGTTTTTTTAAGACCGTTTTATCATACTTTCGTGCAACAACCTAGGGGATTGATAGAGGACTATTTAATGAATTATCCAACGAATAAATATTTGAGACACGGAAAACTCTACTCGGTTGGGTTAAAGGAATTGGTAGACGCCACCGAATGGTGATAAACATTTTCGTTTCAAATATTTAAAAAATATCAATTAACCAAATATATAATGTATTATTTAAAAAAAATCCGAAAAATATCGGTATCCGAAAACCGATTTTGTACTCAATAATCGATATTAGAACGCCGATTTTGACTTGTAAAGTCGACGTTGTGTCGCCGATTTGGTTAACAAAAATCGGTATTATGACGCCGATTTTCGTGTACAAAATCGGTCTGGGTAAACCGATTTGGGAAACCAACGAAAAAAAAACCCAATTTCAATCTCAATTTTTTTTCCAAAATCGGCCAAATCATTGCAACCCAACAAGAAATAAGCATAGATTAATGTTCATTCATACATATTTATCAAGAATCGATGTTCGATTAATGTTTTCGAATTTACAAAAAAAAAATTAGTAAAAAGGACATCGATGCTCGATTAATATTTTCGAATTTACAAACAAAAGTTTAGTAAAAAGGACACGCCAGTCGGCGTCGCGGCGGTCTGGCGGCGGCAGTCGTGATATTTTTTTTTGTTTTTTGATTTTTTTTGATTTTTGGTTTTGAACAAATTAAAAATAGGATTTATTTGTATTTGAGTATTATTTGTGATAAGGGTATATTTGTCATCTTTGGTCTTGATGAAATAAAATTAGATTAATTTACGGGCTTGAACTAATAAACTCCTTTATGTGATTTTGAAGTAATAAAAAAATGGGGTTGCATATAATCGTCGCCATATAATATATATATATATATATATATATATATATATCATGGAAATACAGTCCTAAACAATCTTTAATAAAAAAGGGAAAATAATTAAAAAAAAGCAAGGAATTAGATATAGAGTGCAACTCTAATTCTGAGATTGTCATGATTCATGAAAATAAGAAAAAAAGATTTCCAAGGGTGTAGTTCTTTATATATACGATTTTTAATTGTTGTATTTTATTCCATATATAAATTATTAATCTGCTGTGAAAATATATTTTAATTAGGTTAGTACGTGGATTGTTTATATATATATATTAGAGAAAACACCATACACGATCAGAACACCTTATTCCATCTAAGATTGAAGAAGAAAGAATTTGATTATTTATACGAACAAATCTCAATATCGGCTTAAATATTTTACCCTGGTATTCTTTCTTGGAGGTATGTATTTTTCTCTAAGTTAATTTTTCTTATATGTTTGTTTCCTCTAACTTGTTTAGAGGCTAATTTTCTGCAATTTTTTCTTCCGACTGTGATTGTTTTGAATAATTAGTTGGTGTGATTGCTTTTGTTATTTAACTATTCATCAAAATTACGTTATTCCAATTATTTCAAAAAAAAAAAAAAAAAACTAAAAGAAATTAAGTTGTTTTATTTTAGTAATTAGTGTTTTATTCAGATAATGAATGATTTTTTGTGATATATAGATTGATTAAAAGGAGCAATGGGTTGGAGTGATATGCTTGAAGAGCTTCTTGATTTGATACCGCCGAATCTAATTACGAAAGACAAACAAAGCTTTGGCCTGGTATGTCGATCTTGGAACGCAATTGTTGCATCTTCTTATCGCCAGGCACCCTGTTTAATGATCAACCAGAGGAGCAAGCACACTTGGAAAGTCTACCAACACCAAAAATTCTTCTACAAGGACTACCCCGAACTGGACAACAATGCAGTGATACATTGCTCCAAGCACGGGTGGTGGCTAATGTCCGACGATTATGAAGATCTCTTCTTCTTCAATCCTTCCGACAATCGCACGATTGAAATTCCCAGTCCAATCGGTGTATCCTACTCAACAATAACCTTTTTCCACCCGCCAACTTCCGCAGACTGTTTCGTTGTCGGAATTCACAGTGGCCTTTATTATGTGGTAATAGGGTCTCTTAAACATGGAGAAGACGAGTGGAAGACTTATGAGCAAAGAACCAAACGTTATATATTTCGTGAGTCCCTTGCCCCCCCCCAGTTCTGCATCGTGGACTCGTATACTTTCTGGGTATGGAAGGGAACATTGCTACCTTTGATATCACGAATCCTACCTTTGATATCACAAACCCTAGTTTGAAAATCTTCACGAGATGCATCAAGACACGTCGGCTTCGATTTCATATTACAGAGCACTTCTTGGTCAAACCAAAGGGCGAGGACGTAATTTTTGCCGTATTTGGTACGCATGACGAAAGAGAGGTCAGAGTGTACAGGCTCGTGGAGAAGCCGGAGGGCTTTTTGTGGGAACCGGTAGAAGATTTAGGGGATATGGTATTTTTTGTGAGCAATACGTCGTGTTTCGCGTTTAGCGGGAATGCAGAAAACATGGCAAACAAAATCTACTTCCCTAGATTCCATGGTGATGATCTTGTCTTCTACTCTTTGAAAACACGAAAGTTTCATACTTTCAAGGGTGATTTTTCGAGCAAAAAATCTTACGGGCTTAAAAGATTTGATTTTGCAATTTGGCATATTCCCCCACCAACTGGTCCTCAACTTTCAGAAGAACTATTGGAATGGTATCCACAAGAGGATGATGATGATGATGATGATGATGACACTGCATGACTCTACTGCTACTTTCTTTTCCTATCTAATTTGAAAATTTTGTTATAGTATTTATGTTTGTATTTTTTTTTTGTTTAATGCGATATGGTCTCTAATCTCTAGTAGATTTCATTAATCAAGATTAGCAGGTTTCTTAATTGGGTTGTTGTTCCGATGATGAAGTAGTTACACTATACAGTAAAACCTCGATAAATTAATTGATCATACTCGATAAATTATCTAATACTTAATAAATTAATAAACTCGCTTAAATAATAGTTTCTCTCGATCCCGGCTCGATAAAAACGTGTTAAACTATTAATTCGATAAGTTAATAATTCGCTAAATTAATAGAATTTACCTAGTCCCTAGTGTATTAATTTATAGATGTTTAAATATATATATGCATGGCTTGTGTACATACTGATTAGGTTTAAAGTCATTTGAGATCCTTCCCCTCAAATCCAAATTATTCCATACTATATACATAAAATCATCACCGTAGAAAAATACAAGTTTAGCATAATTTATATGCACACACACATATATATGACCTTATGACCTATAGTTACACAAACAGTAACATATATATATATATATATATATATATATATATATATATATATATATATGGGTTAATTGCAAATACCACCCCTATGAAACCTCTAATTATCAAATGCCCCTGTATAAAAAAAAATTCACTCATACCCCCTTGTGTAACATAGTGTGCACCTATTATCATTTTAATCTTGGGTTTATTAGGGAAAACCCCCTTGTTCATATTTTCTAATGAGGTAGATCCAATTTTTTTCCCATTTTTGAGGTACACCCAATTTTGCCAACTTGGCAAAATATATTATATAATTTCCCTTTTATACCCCTGTTTTATTATTAAACGGCATTTATTTCCTTTAATACGTGATTAGAGATTTGCTGATACGTTGCCTAAAATCACGGAATAAATTTACGTGAGATCATTGGCCGTTATATCAAATCGTGTACAATATTTTTTGAAGATTCTCTTCATCGTTCCAGCGGGTTTTATCGTCTTTGAAGATTTCTGCACCGTCGTGGAAATATGATCGATTTTTGAGCGTTTGTTGTTGGACGTTGTTAAGCGGGTATGAATGCGTTATTCGTTTTTATTTTTCGCTCAATGTCCATGATTGTCGTGTACGGTGGTTAGAAATTTTTAAGAGTTGTGTTGATACTTGATTCTATTAAGTAGAACGTTTTTTAACAAAATTATTCCGTCATATATATATATATATATCGTTTTTTTTGGCCGATGATGTTTGTTTGGAAGAGGATTGACAGAGTTAGAAGAGGATGGTTCACGTATATCGGACCAGAGTTGTTTTATATGAACATCGTAGTTGGTTTATGCAATAATTGAAATAACTGTCCGCTGTGGTTGAGTTCATGAGTTAGATCCCGTTCGATAGTTGGTTTATTTGTGTATAACAGCAGATTTTAGGGTGCTGGGTAGTACATTAAAATATATTTCGTAGTCTTTTTTAATTTAGCGTATGGATTTTGCATTTTGAGTTTATTGTTGATCATATTAATATATTTTTTAGTATTCTGCATTTTTAATGTCGTATCATGATTCAAGGTATTTTCGATGGCGAATTTTGTACGGATTTTTTTGAGATTTTGTGGTTTGGTTGCTATAAAGAGGTGTTCGAATGGGTTTACTCGCGGCTCATTGGTTGCATTTGTTATTTCAAAGTGGCCACAACTCGATGGGTGGGATATAAGCATGACATATAGGCTGGAGGGCATTGTCCGTTGTGGTCGAGTTCATGTTTTTGATCCCGATCGATAGTTGGTTTATTTGTTTATAACAGCCGATTTAAGTGTGCTGGGTAGTACATTAAAATACAGTTCGTAGTCTTTTTTTAATTTAGCGTATGGATTTTGCATTTTAAGTTTATTTTTGATGATATTAATGTATTATCATTCAAATGTATTTGCAGTCTATTTAATCATTTTTTAGTATTCTGCATTTTTAATTTTGTTTCATGATTTTAGGTTTTTTCGATGGCGAATTTCGTACGGATTTTGTTGAGGTTTGGAGAGTTGGTTGCTATAAAGAGGTGTTTACGATGTAATGGCTCGGTAACTTCGGTTAAGTGTTAAACCGTTGTAATAAAGTAGTATACTATTATGAATACCGTATGATACTACCATTATCATTTTATTATACTATTATGAGATTATTAATGTACTAGAGTTTTTTAACTCGACATATTGGTTTGATTGTGTTATGATGTGTTTTATGTATTTTATCAAAACCCTAGATTGAAATTATGAGATTATTAATGTACTATTTTATTGGTTATGTTGGAATACTTTACGTTGGTGTTGTTCTCAATGTTCTTGTCATTTCAGTGGTATATTGTTTGTAACACAATTTCATGTCACTACTATAACCGTAATATACTATCATATCAGATTAATGTACTATATTGAAATTGTTAATATCCTATGTGGATGAATAATACGGGATCCATAGTCGATTAACGAGATCCATAGTCGAATTAGATCAATAAGATAGTCTATTACATGATATAAGGAAAATTACCCTAATTGATTAGTATTTCAAACAAACATATTATTCAGTTTCCATATATATTAGGGGAAAGTACAGTTTGCACCCCTGAACTATGAGGTTTGTCCTGAACACCCCCTTAAACTACAAAAGGTAACAAAATGCCCCCTGTCGTTTCTAGTCAACATTTGAAAAACTAACACCGTTAGTTTATTTGTGCATTTACTTATTTGCCCTTAAAAGTTTTTCAAAAAATCTGCACCATTCAAGCCTATCATTTCTTCTCCCATCCAACCATCTCCCCAATTTCACCTATCACAGTTCTCTCTCCGATTCTCCATCCAACCAAGCGAGGTTCCAAAACCGATTGACCGGCCAATTACTGCTGCACCACCTCAAGTAGGCGGAGATCGGCAATTTAGCGAATGATGGACAGTTGGAAGCGGCGGAAGTGGATGAAAGGCTTGTTGGGGATCGGAGGCGTCGTCGTTTTGGGACGAGGAATGACCTGAGGTGGATGGTTGGTAATCTTGCTGTTGGGAAAAAAATGCGGCTGGGGTTTTCGGCTGCCGCCGCATATCTGTTACTGTTACTTGGATTTGGTCTGTGGTAATTCTCATTGTTGGGGTTTTCCTTGGTGAAAGATGAAAAGCTCTATTTTTTTTCTTTTATTATTGTTTTATATATATATTTTCTATTTACGTTTTTTTTAGAGCTTTTGGCTTAATTTAGTGCATTTCTTGGTGATGGGTTAATAATAAATATATTTTTCTAATCAACTTAATTCAGAATGTATATATTTTCCTTTTGGTAAATAATAATAATATATGTATTATATATATATATGAATGTACGTATACTGTAATATTATTATTTAATAAATACATCTATATATATATATATATATATATATATATAT